TCACTAGCTTCTTATAAAATAATCTTTTTATTTCTTAAACTGGATATACACTTATACAACACAGTGAAATATAATATAATGGTTCTTAAGAACCAGGCTTTGAAGACAGATTATCTCTGCTTTTTCCCTCAGGCAAGTAACCGGCCCTTTCTGTCCCATTTTCCCATAGGATGTAGTAAGAATTAAATGCACCAATATATTTAAGGCGCTTAAATCAGTGCCTGGGTGCTTAATAAACATATCATATATATCATCTGCTTTAATTACATAATTATTATTTTTATGGAAAAAGGTCTCTCAGCTTAGAAAACTCACTAAAAATTCTGATAATATTAAAATTTCAATTTATCAATGAGTTCAAACATTTAGAAAGGCTTGGACTAAAATCTTATTAAGAAATCTCAGTATTTACGCTGTATCTACTCTATTCACTAGTCCAATTTTCTCCAACTCTGAATCACTATTAGTCCTTTCCCTGACTCATCACATTGAAAGGTAGACAGTCTAGAATATAATGGGCATACCAAAAGGCATTTCTTAAGCTACCTGGATTTATAAGACTTACTAAGTGGAACTTGTCCGATATAATGGTCAATAAATATGCTGAATAATTGCGACTTAAATTGTGTTCACTTAGAAGAGTTTCTATATATCAAATATTCCTTCAAACTATGGAGTAGGTATTATAATCCCATCTTGACTGAAAAAACAAGGCATTACTTAAGAAAAATCAAAGATCCACACTTTCTGACTGCTAGCCAAAAGCAGACTTGTATTTTGCTGATGATTCAGTGTTCAAAATTTTGCTAAGCAAACTACAGACTACAGGGTTAGAAACAAACTCTGAGCCTACAAATTTGACCTTAATTTCTACTCCATTTCATACTTTCATTGTTTTCCCCATTTATGTTTAAATCATTTAAGATCAACTTCTAATTTTTTTATTGAAAAAAATCTAAAAAATAAGCTAAATAATGCAAGATTGATTTAACTCTTAAAAACTCCTTTAAAAAAAAACAAAAACAAAAAACCTCCTTTTTCCCTAGACACACACATACACAAAAAACCAAAAACTTTTAAAATACTACTCTACCGTTTATTCACTTCCCATGTGATCTTGAGTCATTTAAACTCTCTAAGCCTCCATTTTCTCCTCTGGAAATGGGGATAAAAACAGTAACTGTAACTACCATTGGAGACTGCTGTGAGCATTAATTAAGACAATATGTAAAACACTTTAGCTGACCACAATGAAAACAGTTAAGTTTCAATAAATTTTAACTTTTATATTTAAATCCAAACTTTAGTGTCACTTGACCTCCATCTGAGACTTCCCAGGTGGCGGAAGCCGTAAAGAACCTGTGTGCCAATGCAGGAGAGGTAGGGAAAATCACCTGGAGAAGGAAATGGCAACCCACTCCAGTATTCTTGCCTGGAGCATCCCATGGACAGGTGAGCCTGGTAAGCTACAGTCCATGGAGTCGCAAAGAGTTTTCACAATTGAAAGCAACTTAGCACTAGATCTCTATCTATTGAAAGATTGTGTTTTCTATGAAAACCACCTCTGTTAATCCATTCATGCACACCTACCCAATGGCAATAACCTCACAAGCACTCTGAAAATGTGGGTATAAATGTCAAGGAAGCATTCCCCAACTAACCCTCTTGAGGTAGGTAACCTTCTCAGGAAAGAGTCCGCACTTAACACTGTACTACCTAATACAGTTCCCTGTATTAAGAACCCCTCTGTGGGCAAGGCCTGTGTCCTATTCATTTCTGCATCCCTAGAATGCAACCCAATAATTCTAAATCCCGACTCACATGGGGAGCTTATCAAAATACTAATACCTGGGATCCATCCCAGACCCATTAAATGCAAGAGGTCAAGGAGAGAGAAGTCAAATAATCAGCAAAGGGGAAGCATTTTTTAATTTCCTCACATAGTGTCGATATGACGCCACAGCTAAGAACCACTGCACTTTGACATTTAAACTACTATATAAACAGGTATATATACATTTATGTGTGAATATATGTATAAACATCATCTCTTTCCTTTAAACAGACAACAATTTTAATTAACAATTAGTTACATGCTGTGTTAAGATGGCTTCTAAACTGTTAACTCAGTACGTACTTAAGTTTCATGTAATTATGCCTTCTTCCTAGATTACAGTTTTGCTACTTGAAAATATACACTGCCTTATTCTTGTTTTCTCCAGAGTGCTTATGATAGTGCCTTGAACAGAGACATGTAATAAATATGTGGCTGATCTAATAAATGTATAAAAAGTATCAGCAGGAAGTATGTTACATTCAAGGTATCCAATTCGGGCTAGTACTCAAAAAAAAAAAAAGTAAAAGGTAAAAATTTAGGAAAAAGTTTTTTTAAAAAAACTCTTACTTAGTAAACAAGAGCAACTAAAGTTTATCTCACGAATGAGCATCTGTATATTTGCATTTATTATAGCCATCACATGCAGTATCCCACCACCTACACGTTAAGATTCTAAACTGCTTCCTTACTAAAACTATCCTCCAGTTGCTTGTATCATCTTTATCTGCTGTCAGGTTCTTTTGAAATAATTTTATAGTTACTCTGTAATCAGTAAAATAAGTTAATGAAAGTCACAACAAATGTTTTACACAGATGCTTAATAAATATTTTGAAGAAATTTAATGTTTATCAAACACTAAAACAGACTCTTTGCATACAAGTTACATGCTAAACTACTAATATAAACTTGGTTGGGAATAAGGCCTGAAAATAAGAGATTAGTCATGCAACACTATATACATATATATATGTGTGTGTGTGTGTGTATATATATAAAATACAAGTCTACTTTTGAATATTGACTGATGATCTTTTTATAATACTTTTATATTTTATGCCTGAAATTTTCATAAATTATATGACTTTTTAAAATAGTAATGTTAAACTGTATTATACAAGAAACTCCACAGCAACTGGCATTTACAAACTACTAACAGAAATGAATGGCACATGATTAACATAATCTGAAAAACTTTATTTTTTTAAAAACTGAAAATATGGGGAGGAGGAACTCAAGAAATATGCCTGCTAATTAGATACTGTGGTAAAACATTACCATGTTTTGTTGGGTCCTACAGCATGAAACAGATAAAGCCATAGTTACCACAAAAAGAAAGCAGTACTCAATTCCCTATTCAATAAAAAAGGTTCAAATTCCACAGACAAAAAAATGGTACCCTGGGTTGTTTGTTTTTAAGGAAGATTAAATTTAGGAGTTGCCAACACCCAAACGAAAAACATTCCAGAGTATTAGACTCAATTGTAACGGGGAGTCATCTACATTCTCAGCACTGTGTTCCCTTACCCAAAACACGAATATTAACATAGGATGTTTCTTAGGACCTCACAAGATACACCACACTTATTTCTCCCAGTAAACATTACCCTTCTTAAAAACACAAACACAAAAAGGTATTGAGAAAGAACAATTTTAGCATAAGCAGCTAGACAAAAAAATGAAGTTTAACATCTGCCAAGAGATCTCCCAAAATAAGACCCCTGTCAAATGAACAATGAGGAAAAGATTGGAAATGACAAATTATTTTATTTGGACCATCAGCTATATTTAAAAATAACGCTGAGGAATGTAACTTTTCCAAAGCCTTCTCTTCAGTTTCCCCTTAATCTTCATATTTTTAACTTAAAAAAAACCCTAGAAATTTGATTACCACTCTCATGAATTCCTTTTAAAGCAATTTTATGAATAACAGATCTTTTGTGCAAGTAGCAAACCACAAAGGACAGTTTTGCTGGCTGATAAAAATCTTCCTGAAACATGCATAAAAATATACCCTTCAAAGACAAACTGATTTTCTAGGTATGGAAATCATATTAAGACTCAAAAATTTGGTATGTTTGATACACACCCTAACTTATTGCAGATGTTTTTATCTGAACCACAATTAAAGTTGGTGAATTCTTACTATTTACTTACTGTGTGTCAAAGTTGAATACATTAGAAGGCCAGGAGGGAAAAAAAAAAAAAAAAGGTTAAAACCTTAGAGCCAATGAGCAAAAAATGCAACTACTTCGGGTGAAACATGATTGTCGAATCACTTCCCCAAGCCAGTGAGTTACTATTAAAGCAACTAAAAACTTGTTGATTGTTTCGTTGAGTAGAGAGAAGTGCTGTTATACCATAAGTAAAAAAGTTTCACCAGGCAATCTAATGGGAAGATGCTGCTGCTGCCCACAGAAATGTTTTTGAGACTGCTCAAAAATACCCAAAAAGAAAAAAAAATCAACCACCACTCCCCCTCCGAAAAAAAATTCCCAAACCTACCACAAATGTTTTCCAGAATACATAGGGTCAAATACTCCAACACAAGGAGAGAGCAAAAGAACTGTGGGTTGCTACAGCGTTCCTATTGTCCAGAATACCACTCAGGAAAAGTAAGAGTGTGTGTGTGTGTGTGCGGTTTCCAACAGCTGGTGTATATATGAAATAGTACATATGCTCGGTTGGATATACTTCTTGGGTTCACTGAAAGATAAAGCTGTCTGGGTAGTGCTAAGGCCAAGTTTTCTTTACGGGTGCTATTAAACACTGCTAAAAGGGAAGAAGAGATAAACGATCCGATAACTTAAGACCGACACCTGGGAAATTAGAGTACGTCATCATCACCATTCACCAATTTTTCTAACTGATCAAGCAGAAACGAGGTAGGCAAGTTCTGAAGCCCCATGCTATCTTTCCACCAGTGAAAAGAAGGCTCTGGTGTCTGAGATCTTAGCCAGGAAGCCTGAAAAGCACGTGTCCGACTCTGGGTTGGGGAACTTCCCAGGAAGCGTTTGTTGAGAGTAAAACTCCATCACCCCCTGCCTGCCTACTCTGAGAAAGGCTAAGAAGTGCAGGCTCGAGGGGGAAAGCTCTGGGTCCCGGAGAGATGAGACCTGGAGGCGGCTGCCCTCCAGGGTCCGGCCGCGGCCCCGCCCGGCTCACCTCTGCGGCGGGGATGTTGACCACGCCGGTGGATCGCCGCTTCTCCCGCAGCTTCCTCTTCTCGATCTGTCCCTTGCCTTTCCTGGCGCTGGGGCCCGAGCTCTTGCCCTTCTCCGGGGCGCAGTCCCGCTCCTCCTCGCCGCCCCGGGCGGGCGCTGCCCCCGAAGTGGCGGCGGCGCTGGGGGGGGACTCGTCCTCCGGCCGCCGTGGGGCGGGGGCGGCGCGGCTCAGCGGCGCGGGGCCCACGGCGCAGTTCACGCCCCCGGGGCCGGGGGCGGCAGGTGCGGCGGCGGCGGCACCGCCGCCCGGGAGGTTGTTGTTGAGCTCGTTGGCTGCCGCGGCCGCGGCCGAGGTGCCTAGGGCCCCCGGCGGGAGCTTCCCAGCCGCGTCGCCGGTGCCCCCGGCGGGGGCGGCCGGGCCCGCGGGATTCTGCTTGGCGCGCATCTTCTCGCGCTTCGCCTTCCACTCCTCCAGGAAGTCTGTGGTGCTGCCGCCGCCGCCGCCGGTCCGGTAGCCACCGGTCGCCATATTCCCAGCGGGGCCAGCCAGGCTCTCACCTCAGGCCGCCCGCCCCGACTCCGGCCGCCGCCGCCTCTTCCTTCCCGCCGCCCGGAGGAGGAGAGGGGACGACCCCCGGGGCGCTGGGGCGGCCGCGCCTCCCGCCGGGACCGGCTAGTCTGCAGGGGAAACACAAAAGGGGGCGGGGAAGGGAAGCGTGAGGTTCTCGCCCGGCTCGAGGGTCTGCCCCGGGGCCGCGCCCCTCAGGGCCCTCCTCCCCGAGAGCGCCCCCACTCAGCCCCGCAGGCGAGGAGGCGAGGAGTCGCCGAGTCGCCACCCCGCCGAGTTTCTCCGACGCACCTACACGGCTGGGCCCGCACGGTCGCCGCCCCTGGAGGGGAGGAGAGAGGCAGGGTCCCGGTCCCCGTCCCCGGCGGTCGCGGGGGACCCGAGCCAGACCCGCCACCTGTCGGCCCGTCGCATCTCCAGCCCTCGCTCCGCTCTGGGCTGCCCACCGCCGACACCCTCATCATCGCGGGGAGAGGCGCCAAGCCCCCTGACCGACTCGCGGAGGAGGCGGGACGGGTTCCGACCCAGCCGTCCAGCCGAGTCCAGGGGCACAGGCTGGCGTGGAGAGCGCGCACTGCCCCGGAGGCCCCTTACCTGAGAGGACTTGAGGGGGACGAGGAGCGGGGCTGGGAGCTGGCGCCCAGGTGAGCCGAAGCGGCCGCGCGCGAGAAGCCACGGCCAACTCGCCGTCCGGAGCCCGCGGTTCTCCCGGGCTGGGAGGGAGGGAAGGAGGGAGGGAGGGGAGGGGAGGGAGGGGAAGGAGCGGAGCCGAGCGACGCCGAAGCGCGGGCGGAAAGGACCGAGGCGGCGCGCGAGGGGCGCGGCGCGCGGCGGGGGGCTGTGCCCGCCGACACCCCGCCCCCCGGCGCTCAGGTGCGCGGCGCCGGGTCCGGCCCGCCGCCGCCAGCCCCGCGGACGCCGCGGCGACCGCGCATTCCTGGGCGCGCAGCCGCACGGCGTCCGGCCTCCGGGCGCCTCCGACTCTGGAGCGCGAAAGGCCCCGCACGCCCTTCTGCCCGCTCCTCTTCTCCGCCTTTCCTGTCTCCCACCACTCTTCCTTTTAAGTACAAGACATACTCTTCCAGAGAAAAGTCTCCAATGCCGCTGGCTGAAGGGGAAAAGGCAATCAACTGGTGATGATTTAGGGCCTGACTAGCCAGGATGGGAAAAGACTCTCGCTTCTCTTTTCCTCGTCGCTGCGTCCTTTTCAGATGTACTAGGGTGGCAGGCAGGAGAGTAGGAAGAACTGAAACCCACTTTCCCCTCCTCATATGTCTGTGGTCTCAGGTGAGAGTGTCGGCTGAAAGGAGGGGCTTCAATTGTCAGTGTATTATCAAGGCTTTGACTATTACCTTAGGCTTGCAGGAACAAAATGTTAAACTCATTTTAAAATATATTGTATCGGCGATCCCAATCAAATTGGAGTTTCCTCTTAACTCTGCCTCTACACCTCCTCTTCACAGATAGTGAACGTAGCCCCAAAGCTTCCTCCCAAAGTCCTAAAGCTGCTTTGAGGCTGATTTGATATGAGCTGGGGCGGTGATTGTCTCTATTCTTCTGCCGTTAACGTGCCATAGGATAAATCTTATCTTCAGATTCAGATCATCTCAGATTTCGGGATCAGGGTAGGCTGAACTGCCCCCGTCAGGCACCTGAGGAGGCAGACTTCACAGTATCAGAGTAATGCCAGGGCACATCACTGTCAAGTGTACAAATGCCCGGTCACCATTTTGTAAAAAGTAGGCGAGCACTGAGTCACTTTCTTACCTAACGTACATCTTTCTTCCTACTTAGTACTACCTGATTTGCCCAGGTGGCACATGGTGGGTGAGCCCTCAGCGTGGGCCTGCCCAGGAATAAGGACAGCACACAGTGATTCACATGATATTTATTTGTCAGAGGGGAAAGTCACCCAGTTCTCCTCTTTGGTCTGTCTGCTGGGAGTGAACATGTGGATAACCCGGATTGAGTTCTGGAAAAACCCTTTAAAAAATTAAAGGCCTTCCTCGGGAATCGGTTTAAAAGGCTGAGCCTGGCTGGTACCAACCTGGGTGCGCCACTTGAAACTCCTCAATTAATGATTCATTGCTCTGTTTTCTGAGTTTTAAGGCCAGGAGGGCAGGAGGGAGGAGGTTTGGGCATTAAACAGGTTCATGTTAATATGCTTTGTAACTTCCCAGAGGATTTTCTCTTGGAGGGACTGCAGGATATAGTGGAAAGAGGATATAATGTACCTGAATTCAAACATATAAACCGCTGAGCGATCTTGGGCATGTTCTTTAAATTCTCTGAAACTCAGCTTTCTTTACTATAAAGCCAGTAATAACATATAAGTTAAGAATTGAACATTGCTTGGTCAAGGATAACACTCCATAAATGTAATCTCTTTATTAATAGGATTTTTTTAATCTCTTTTAGTAATAGGATATTGAACAGAGGCCTGTGTTTCTAAAAGTGAGGGGAGATAAAGACCAAAAAGATAAGGTACTAAATACACATTATTAACTTGAAAATAGATCCTGAACGACCTAGGATAACACTCTGCCACATAATTTATCACTGCATCTCTTAGACCAGTTCTCTTAGTATTAACAAGCGCTGAGTCAGGAATGTTGGCTGCTGCTGACGTGTGACTTCGGGAAAGTTGCTTAACTTTTGTACCTCTGTTTACTTACATACAAAATGGGGATAATAATACTTCCTACATTGTGAGTGCGCTGTGAAAGTGCCTGAGATCCTTAGATAAAAGGTAGTATGTGAGTACCAGAGTAGTTTATATATAGTCTATAAAGTGTCCCAGGAATCAAGGATGAAAGCAATTATTGAGGTGCAAAGCACTGTGTATTATTATCGTTTATTATATCTTTTGTCTTTACCTGACCATTCTCAGTATTCCCAAAGATGTATTTCACAGCCAGACTGCTTCCATCATTGCATCCAAATATTTAGCTGAGTCAGTTCTAAATTGCCAGGCTTGCATGTCATCAGTCGTTCGGTACAAGCGTTCTGATGAAATAATCCCCAAAGACTCCGGGCCCGTTTTCTCAGCTGCAGCACTGTGGGCATTTGGGGCTGGGTCGCTCTTTGGGGGTGTCGTCCTGTCCATGGCAGGATGTTCAGCGGCCTCCTTGACTTTTGTCCTCTAGACACCTGCCAGGAATCGCCTCCACCCCCGGTGCGACTTTGTCAAGCCCAGTTTCTATATGTCAGTCCCAGTTTCCCCCAGACTTTCTTCCTCTCAGTGCAGTTAATCATGTCACATGATCTGTCGGGTCTCCTTTTCTTGGAGGGATCTCTCCTGGAGCTCTCCACCCCCTACTCTACTCTGGACTGATTTTTAAGGCTCATTGCTCTGTGCTCATCCTGGGATTCTACTTGCCTAACATCCTGGGAATCATTTCCTATACAGACTCCTTGTTTCCTGAACTCCATATTGTCTTCTTTGCCTTTATTTTAGCTGAGTACTCCTTCAGTATACTCTGGAGGTCAGATTGCACATTCTTGGAGACTATGTATGTTGAAAACTGGTTTTCTTTTGTCTTCACACTTGGTTAATAGTTTGGAGGGGCTTAGAACTCTAGGTTGGAAATCATTTTCCTTTATAATTTAGAGGGCATCACTATATTGTCTTCTAGTTTCCAGAGTTACAGTTGCCAGAAAACCAGTGGCATTCAGATTCCTTTGTCTTTTCTCTCTTAAAGTTTTGGAACTTCTAACCCATCTTCTTAATTATCTTAAAGGTTTGCCATGGTTTATCTTTTTTCATTATATGTTAGGCACTCAGTGGGCCCTGTAAATCTGCCCTCTGGCCTTCAGCTGGGAAATTGTCTTTGGTAATTCTTCACTTCCATTTCCTCTATTCTTTTTCTGGAACCCCTGCTAAATACTTGAATTTCTAAGTGTTCCCTAGTAACTATTTGTCTTTTCTAGTTTCTGTCTGTTTGGCATATTATTCTGTTTTCAGGGATATTTCGTCTCTTATTTGCCAGACTTTCTATCGAATTTTCTGTTTCTGCCACCATTTTTTCTGTGATCTGTTTCTTAGTCTCTAAGTGTTCTTCCATATTTCCCTGTTCTTGTATCACATTCATTATCTTTTCTCTTTCTAAGGAAATTCCTTTAACTTTTCTTCTGCTGGTCCTACACTGCGCCTCTTATCTATATGTTCCCTTTCATCCTCTTGATTATTTCAGTCTTCATTTTTCATTTTCCTGTTTGTATCTTATCAGTCTGCTATTCATTCATATTTTATTTATTTATTTACTGGCCACTCTGTGTGGCCTGCAGGACCTTAGTTCCCTGACCAGGGATCAAACCTGTGCCCCCTGCAGTGGAAGGGCAGAGTCTTAACCACTGGACCACCAGGAAAGTCCCTGTTCATTCATATTTTAGACTGAAGCATTGAAAAGTTGACTGGATGCTCTTCTCTCAAAAGGCAGAATTTGTTGACTGATGGTCCCAATTTAGGGAGCTGGTATTTGGACCCAGGTGTTTTGTGGAGGCATGTGTCAGTTGTCAGCATCTTTGGGGTTTTCTCCTGGCCACATCAGTTTCCCAGAAAGAAACTGTTTCTGTCTGTGATGCTAGTTGTCAACTGTTTCAAGTGCCATGTAAAGAGAAGGAAGGGACTGGGGGAGTCTCCAAACTCAATACGCAGATTTCACTCAGTCCCTATGCTTGAATGCCTGTTGTGTTCAAGTTCAGTACATTTGTAATTCGGACAGCTCCAGCGCAGGAACTTCCCAATCCTCTACCAATATAAGGAGAGACAGCCTCCTTGTTATTAGGCCTTAGAGCGAGGACTCGAGAATCTAATTGTCCTTTATGTAGATTTTTAGCCAATTCTTTTTTTTTCATTCCCATTCTTTCTTCCCTTTCTGAAGTATGTGCTGCTGCCTCTAATTTCTCAGCTTTCTTCTTTAGGACATAAAGGAATCCTTCTTGCTGACTTTGTCTCTTGA